AATAACTACGCCAGGGGTCACATGTCTCTCCTCGTGTGAATAACTACGCCAGGCGTCACATGTCTCTCCTCGTGTGAATAACTACGCCAGGCGTCACATGTCTCTCCTCGTGTGAATAACTACGCCAGGGGTCACATGTCTCTCCTCGTGTGAATAACTACGTCAGGGGTCACTTTTAGCTCCTCTAAATAAATACGGCCTTTTTTCCCCTGAGAAAAACGAGTACAAACATGGACGAATTCATCGCTGGGTCCATTTCCCCATGATAATTAATTGATTTCTTGTAATAATATATAAATATATAATATATTATTTGTTTGTTTTTTTTCCATGGAAGGCTATGGTGTAGCTGGGGCTAGAGCCACGGGGGAGGGGGGGGCTATAATATTGCCGCCCCTTTCCATGATTCAAAAAAAAAATCCGGAATTGGCCAAAAATTCCTCCCCTTCATTTCAAGACAAAAGTGCCGCCCGCGGTGGACCCTCCCCATCCTCCTTGCCCTCGCCATTGGGGGGGGGGAGGCAGATATCTTGACCCGCCCCGGGTGGCTCTAACCCTAGCTACGCCACTTCGAATGTTGATCCTACAGAACCGCTTTCGCCCTTCGTCTGTTTAGAAAATGATAATTTAATTACTGACAATTTATGAGTTATGTGGATACGTAAGTCACTTCTATGACGTCAAACAAATGGCTCCGTTGCAGAACACCATCAACTGAGAAATCGAGTCACTTGAAGTCCAGCTTCTCTATATCAACAGCTTCTCTATATCAACAGCTTCACTATATCAACAGCTTCTCTATATCAACAGTTTCTCTCTTTTCTTTTCAAGTACCGGTACCGGTAATTAACAAAAGTTTACAGTTTCGATCCCGGACAATAATTTCTCACACGACAACTCTAGACCCCCATCCTCCCCCGGTTCTTGTTGAGTATAAGGACCTACCTAGCTGGTAAATGTCACGGGCTTTCATCAAGCCAATCAACGAATGCTTAGTGTCAGTCTGAGTTGCATAGATGGGACAGCTGTGGGTAATCTGCAGTTACATAGATGGACAGCTGTGGTTAACCTGCAGTTACATAGCTGGTATCGTTGGGTAACCTGCATTTATATAGATGGGACAGCTGTGGGTAACCTGCAGTTACATAGATGGGGCTGCGTTGGGTAACCTGCAGCTACATGGATGGGTCAGCTGTGGGTAACCTGCAGCTACATAGATGGGACAGCGTTGGGTAACCTGCAGCTAAATGGATGGGACAGCTGTGGGTAACCTGCATTTACATAGATGGGACAGCTGTGGGTAACCTGCAGTTACATAGATGTGACAGCTGTGGGTAATCCGCAATTACATATATCAGACAGCTGTGGGTAACCTGCAGTTATATAGATGAGACAGCTGTGGTGTGAGTAACCTGCAGTTACATATATCGGACAGTTGTTGGTAATCTGCAATTACATATATCAGACAGCTGTGGGTAATCTGCAATTACATATATCAGACAGCTGTGGGTAACCTGCAGTTACATAGATGAGACAGCTGTAGTGTGAGTAACCTGCAGTTACATACATCGGACAGTTGTGGGTAATCTGCAATTACATATATCAGACAGCTATGGGTAATCTGCAATTACATATATCAGACAGCTGTGGGTAATCCGCAATTACATATATCTGACAGATGTGGGTAACCTGCAGTTACATAGATGAGACAGCTGTGGTGTGAGTAACCTGCAGTTACATAGATCGGACTGCGGTGGGTAACCTGCTAGTTGGAATAGTTTTGTAATAAAGCACAGCGAGTGCACATCGACATGGCCAGCTATAGCTGCACAATAAGCTGCCAAATGTTTAATGGGGGGAAAGGGAGTTAAACACTCAGCACTGACTTACGTTTTCTCAGCCTGAGTAGTGCTAAGGACAGGTTATCTCTTACACATAATATACTAGATAGCTCAGGGCTTACTACTGTGGTCGGCAACCCGCGCCTCCGGAACCGCATATATGTCTTTGTAGGAACAGACGTGTTGCTGTTTTGTTTCTATCCATAGTACAACGTCATGCTCTCCCAAAAATATTTTATTAGCGGTAAAACAAAACAAAAAAATGTACAAAATGGCTCCTCGCACACAATAGCTACCTGCCCTAGTGTGTGTGGATTTCGGCCTTATTCGGTTCTTAAATTCGCAATCTTTGAATAATTATATTGTATGGTCTTGTCACTTTAGCTTGTTTCTTTAGTTTAAACGTACACGGCGCCTAATGATTTTACCTGTATCCAGTGCCTCGGTTGTTGTTGTTGTTTTTTTTTTTTTTAAATCTCATACACTGGGATGGGGGAGTAGAATTGTTGGAGAACCCTCGATTACAGACAACCTTTGGACCAAAGTTCGGTTTCAAGTCAAAGTGTATTGATATCTAATTAATAATACCGCCAGATGGTGACCTCATTTTCATTATTCGTGCATGTAATGAAGATGCATTATTGACACTTGCTGTGGTGGTTGCCTACAGGATATGTTGTTTGTTGTTTTTTGTTATGGTAAAAATGACAGTAAGGAAAGGGAGTTGATATTAAAAGTCCGAAATATGTTTACTTAATTATAATTACTTTGCTAGTTTTATCAACTTTAGTATTCGTGGAACTGAACATAAATGGTATAGTGATATATTCAACACCATTGGCGTAAGAGGGGGTGGGCAGGGGCGGACCGCCCCGGGAGGCACTTTTTTCCTCTAGATAGAGGGGCGCCATGTTAGGCCAGCTGCAGAGTGTTTATCGTGGAAAGGGTCGGCGAAATCTTGACCCGCCTCGGGCGGCACAAACACCGGGCTACGCCACTGCTGAACACAGCTACCCCAATGAGCAACTGGCTATCACCTCTCTTTCCTATGGCACCCTACTTGGGAATCGTCCCTTATTTCAGCGCTAGGGCACATTGAGCTCTGCCATCTGGACCTTGGGGTTATATTTGATCGTTCATTTGATTTTATGTAGACAAACCAGATCGTACAGTCACTGTCAGCGTGATCTGGTCCTTTTACGGTGACAGGGGTGGTCGGTATTTTTTTTTTGTAGATCTCGCTTTCTTTGTGCAGTTCTCAAGGCCGCTTTATAGCACGATAATTTAATGTGATAGAGCAGCGGTTCTTAACCTGTGGCTGGCGACCCCTTTGTGGGGTCGAACGACCCTTTCCCAGAGGTCGCGTAAGACCAACAATAAATCCGCTGGCACTGCCCCCCCCCCCGAAAAATCTGAAGTGCCCCCCTCCCCCCGTGGGAGAAATAAATTTCTGAAATAATCACTGTATGAAGTACCGTAGCAACGAAAATAATTTTCTGGTTGGGCATCGCCACAACGCGAGGAACTGTATTAAAGGGTCGCAGAATTAGGAAGGTTGAGGACCACAGTGCTAAAGTGAAAGGCATTTTCGTTTTGATAAATATCACGTTTATTAAAAAAAAAAAAGAAAGAAATCTATGTTAAGTTGCTAATACAATATTATTTTACTTCACAGCTGAAGAGTGTAGGACCGAAGCTGGTCCCATTCTTCAAGACGGTCGCCATCTTCTTCGTGCTGTTTGGCCAGGAGGAAAGATGCTCCATCTTCTTCTGCATCGTCAAGTGTCTCCCTGTGGTCTCGTTGATCGTCTTTGTCCTGCTGCACGGCATGAGCCTGAACGAGTACTACAGGTACTCCAGGCGCATCCTGGTGGGACTCGTCTTCTCGGCTCTGGGCGACGCGCTGCTCGTGTGGAAGAACTCCTACTACAACCTCGAGCTCGGCCTCCTCAGCTTCGCCATCGCCCAGATCATGTACGCCCGGGCCTTCGGCTGGCGTCCCCTGAAGCCCTACGCCGGATCCGCGTTCCTGGCGGCGGGTCTCATCTTCTACACCTACCTGCAGTACTACCTGAAGGGTATGATGGTGTACCTGGCGCCGTTCTACATCACGCTGATCTGCACCATGGGCTGGCGCGCCGTGGCCCGTGTCCAGATCTACGATGACCTCTGGACGTGGACCAAGCTGTGCGGCTGTGCCGGCGCTTTGTGCTTCCTCATCTCTGACCTGGTCATCGCCGTCAACATGTTTGCCTTCTCTGTCCCCTTCGCCCACCAGATCGTCATGCTGACCTACTACGCAGCTCAGTTCGGTATCTCCCTGTCCGTGGTGGACAGCCAGGCTGATGAGCTGATCAGGATACAGAAAAGCCAATAGATGATAACTTAACACCCGCCCCCCCCCCCACCCTCGCGCGCTCCCCAATCTTGACAGTGGCCGGCTCTGAAAATCATGTGGGCTTCAGATTGGTTATATTGCATGAAAGTATTTTTTTTNAGCTTGCATCTGCAGTCTTTGACTGAATCCTGAAATGCTGTTCCTGACAAAAGAAATGATACTCAAAACGGTGGTGTTTTTTTTTTTGTTTGTTTTTTTTTAAACTTTTTCTTATATGACAAATTAAGATGTATTAAAGTTGTTTTAATGAATCATTCCTTGCAGGCTTAAATATGACCCTGTACCGATATGACCCTGTACCGATATGACCCTGTACCGATATGACCCTGTACCGATATGACCCTGTACCGGTTTGTCAAAGAATTTCAAATTATTACATGTGTGAGAGATTTTAAAAAAAAAAAAAAAATTTACCTAATTATCATCCTTTAAAAAATAGTGGTGCTGTACCGGGTATTAAATTTTGGGACTTACTCCTTGATTAAATGCTGTTTGATTTAGACCAGATATATCTTGTTTCTGCTTGCAAGGGATATCTGATGAGGCGTTAGAAAAATATATTTGTAAGTTATACCTTTGTAAATGGGGAAGGGGAGATTTTCTGAAACTGTTGTTGATCCATGTAAATATATTTAAATGATGTGGTCAGATTTTTTTTTTTTTTTTTTACAAAAGAGGGCTTTCCCAAGAGTGAGAATTTGAATTCTTGATTATAATTGTCAAATTATGTCTGTATTTAATCAACAAATGTTGACTAAGAAAGTTCATCTAATTTTACTTATCATTTTTTTTTTTAAACTTTTATTTTTAATGACAAATTTTTCCTTGTTGATATTTGGGAAATTCAAGTTTCTGTTAAATTTTTGGAACTGGTATACCATACCGTACTTTCTTGGCATTGATTTGTGTTACATGTAGCATGTCCACCTGAGAATTGAGAAGAGATCTGAGTTATCATCAGTTGTATCATTGTCGAGTTATAAAATTAGTACAGTACCGGGTAAGCATTAGTTTCCTCCAAATTAGAAGTACCAGTAAAACAAAAGAGGGGAATGGTAAAGGGAAAGCAAGTGTATCTTGTGTTCTTAAATTTTTTAAAACTTAACAGGACCAGTGACTGCATTTAATTAAGTACACAGGATATTATCAGTTATTTAGTTTTTTGCCGGGTGTACCGTACCATATATCTTGCTGATTGAAAATTTTACTGGTGCGGGCCATGAATTATTGTGCTTGAACTAAGTTGAACTTGAATCAAAATATTGTCTATGAAACCTTACATTATTTTTTTGTTTGCCCTTAGTTGGACTTCGAGCAGTAAATTAGTAACTTAGAGCATAATCCACACGACAACAAATTTGAGGGTGTGGCACTTCCAATAGTCTTGATGGTTGCTAGAAAACTTAGCTGCCTAACAACACAATTCAAAAGCAAAACAAAAAATTAAATTTTCATTGTCATAACCTCCCTTTTGCGGCCACAACCCCCCCCCCCCCTCCCCCCTTCACTTTCCATTTTTATAAAAATGAAATTGCAATGGCAAGCCATTGTTTTGTTATCAATATTTTTTTTTAATAAATTATACTATTTTGTCCAAAAGAGTTATACCTTTTTAGCTAAGATGCACTTGCACACACAACTGATTTTTATATATATCTCCATATCATTTACATTCCCTTTTACTTAGCAACAACAAAGTAAGGATAAATGTTCAATTAAAATGTTGCTTCTATTTCTATTCAAATTTTGAAGTTTGTTTTTTTTAAAACTAAAACAACATATAACTAAATCAACATATATCAGTAGTTGTTTTTATTTTTAAGTGTATAAATATTAAAAATGAAGAATTATTACAGTACAATCAATAATGGTATCGGTGAAAAAAAAAGAATTAACATTTTAGAAACCAATACTACCTTTTTATAAGACACAATGTGTGTAAATTAAACATTGTAGGTCAGCTTTAATTAATAACAACTATTATGAAAACAAAATACAAATTCAGATGTTTCAGTAAATCGAAAGCAAACAAAAATTATTAAAAATTACAGCCTTTTTAATTAAAATTAAATTATACTATTTATGCATAGGCCTACATATTTTTTATATCCAACCTATAAAAGGGTGGTAACTCACATTCATCTAAATAAATAAGTGACTCCCTTTTAGTTAAGATGCTTAGGTTTTGCTCTTTTTGTCATTTTATTTTTTTAAGTCTTTTTTTTTTTTTTTAAAGATATCAATTTTTTTTAAATTACTCATAATTCATACTAATACTACACTGGTACCCCGTATTATTTTTTTTTTTTTTTTTTTTTTTTTTTTTTTTTTTTTTTTTTAAATATTTCTTTTTTTTTTAATTTATTTTTTATTTTTTATTATTTTTTTCTTTTTTTCCTTTTTAATTTTTTTTTTTTTTTTTTTTTTACACTTTAAAATAAAAATGGACAATTTTCATTTTAAAAAAAGAAAAAGTAGGGAGCAAAATTATTATAGTACATTACCAGTCCATGCTTTAGTTTTTTTGAGTACTGGTACTATTAATAGTAACTACTTACTAGTTAACTACTTAGTAAATTTTTTTTTGTGGTTGGAAGGAAGGATTTTTGTATACCGGTTACACATCCATTTTATGATGAATTACTTCTATGGTTTGTGTGTTTATATAACTAAGTGTCATTAAATTCAACTTCTAAATGCACAAATCATCCTTTAAGCACTTAAAAGTTTCTTTTATGACCTTAAAATGTATCATCAGAGGTGGTCATTACTAACTTTGCTGTCCATTTTTACTAGGGCACCTTACAATATTTAACAATGTTTATTACATTTTCATCTTATGTTCATACGTTTTTTATGTTTTTACGAATAATTTCCAATCCTTTAAATTCAAAATATATTTGTAGCAGTACCGGTACTGCTAAGTTACTGAAATGGATATTTTAATACCGGTATTTCTTGCAAAAAAATATTGACAATAATTTGAATATGAGATTCAGTTCTAAAATTTCTACATCAAAAACATCACTATTGTTATATTGTTACTTTTCAATATAAAATGAGAAAAACTGGGACTTATCGGTATATAAATATAATTTAAAAAATAAAATTTTTAAAAAAAGCTCACAAAATTTATTTTATTAAATTTTCTGTGTACTGATACTGATACAAAGAAGACTTGTTTGTTTTCTCCAAATGATAAATTGAGACCTCTACTGACGAGGCGAATCAGGATTGTGACACTTTTATGCTACGGGTAACTATTTTCACTTCATAACGTGTTGTGGATCTGATCAACAGAAAAGTTTGTCAAGAAATCATATTGAATTAAAAATTTAAAGGTTCTCAAAATGCCAATAACTAAAATTTAACACATGGTCACCTATTAAAAATTACTGTTTAGTCATAAATTTCTTTCTATTCCAGTACCATTGATTTTGCATTGTGAAATAGACACTTTTATTTATAAAACACATTAAAAAAAACATTTTACACTTTATTAATAAAGCAATTTAGAATCATTTCTGCATAGCTGAAAGTTGACACACAAAGTCATAAACAGAATCATTAAAATAGCTGGGGATCATTTTTTTTTTTAACCTTGCCTTAGCTGATGCTATAAATAATATGATGTGAAATAGAGGTCCTTAAAATAATTTAATCAGAGGATCTAATCTTTTCTTTAAAAATTAAATTGGCAACTTCCACCCATAAGAGTTAGACTATACTATAAGGTTCCTGCCTATAAGGTTTAGGAATCTCCTTGAGATTTTAATTCATGCCAATCTTAGAGTAGGATACGGTACTGTAAATTATCTCTCTGATCACCAGGGGCTGTACAAAACAGTTGGAAAACCGATGATGCAACCAAATTCCCATTGACACATCTACAGTTTAGAAACAAAACTTTGAATCCTTTTATTGAGTGCCAGAAGTCGAGTTATGCAACAGTCTTTCACCACATTCACTTCCCTTAGTTATAGCTACTTTTCCCTTGTACTGGGTAACTAATTTATTAACGGTAAAATTTTTAAAAGAACACTGTCTAATGATATTCAAGAGACAATTTAAAATGTTCAAAGTTATTTCTCTGTTCAATTTTTTTAAAAATGTAACAGATATTATTATCTAATGGAAGTTAAATAGTTTGAAGTACCTGTATTTTTACAGTTTTACTGAAATGATTTACATTGAATTGTTTTTTTGTTTAGTACAAACAGGAAAGTTTTAGAAACACTAATTCTAATTCAAATCCAATGAGCAAAACTGCATTAGTAATTTTGAAGGAATCAATATTGATTTCCTTTAACTTTAAATTTTATCAACATTGTTATTGATTGATAGACATTAAACTGTGAGGTGAATTTGTGTCCTTCTGAAAAACTTGACAACCACTGGTAAATACACTCAGAAGTAATTATCAAACTTATGTTGTTGTTTTTTTGCACAGTCAAGTTTTAGAACCACTGTTTCAAAGCCCAAGACCAAAATTGCATTTAAAAACTTGAAGAAATCAAGAATGATTTTTTTTAAATTCCTTTAATTTTCTTTGCATTTTTATTGATTGTTAATTATTAAACTGTGAGGTATAAATATGTGTCTTTCTGATCAAGAAAATGCACTGAGAGTGAAGTAATTATCTAAATTCTTGTTCAGCTCATGGAAATTTGTGGATTATAAATTATATTTGCATTAAGTTCATTGACAATTGTATAAAAATAAAAGCTGTATGATAAAAATATGTATTTTGTCAAAATATAGTTCTGTTAAACTCCAGTTTGCTTTATAGATGTAAATAAAAATCTGTGCTCATTTTCATGGACAGGATTGTTCCAAGTTGTGGTCTGCTGACCAGTAATGCACCTTGGCCTGTCCACCATCCATAACCAAAGAGGAGACAAAAAATGAGGGGGAAAAAAAAAATTATAAATCAGTTTAGCGTTGGGTCCCATTTGCAATGTGAATAAATACCTGATGGTCTGTCACCACTGAAAGTTTAAAACACATTGCTATAAGAACTTGGTTCCTGAACCGACTTTTAGGTGCATACATCCACAATTAA